TAAGGGGCTACACACCCCTTAATTCGAACTAGCTAGTTCGAACTAGGCTTAATCCTCGTAAAATGAAGTTTTCCTAGTTCGAACTAAGCGCTCCGCTAGTTCGATTCAAATTCGAACTAGCGGAGCGCTAGTGTAGCGGCTATGAATGTTAGTTCGAACTAACGTCCGTTAGTTCGAACTAACATTGTAGTGTAGACATACCCAAAGTAAGTTCAAGGAGGATAGGTTCCTTAAGGGCTACTAGCCATAATGGGCAGGAATGGTGTCCCTACCTTCTATTTGCCAGAAGCTGGACATGGGAGACAAAGGATGGAGCATGATGATTGCCTCTTCTGTTTATTGCTCCTGAAACATCTGGCATTGGCCACTACAGTATTGGAAGACAGGCTATTGGGCTAGAAGGACCTTTGGTCTGACCCAGTATGGCCATTCTGATTTTCTTATCTAGAGCTGAAATGTATCTATCTAAGATACATGTAACCCACTTGACCCCACTCCCCTTCCAGAGCTGAGGGGGAGCCCAGGAGTCCTGACATGGTCTCTCTCTCTCTTTCTCTCTCTCTCTCTCTCCACAGAGTTAGTAACAACGTAAGAATATACATTAAAATGTTAAGGCTAACTAGTGTCCCTTAAATGCCTTTCTACAAGATGTCAGAATACTTTAGAGTTAGAGCTGAGTGGGTCTAATACTTATTTAATTTTATTTTATATAGGAATTAGATACAGTGGTTCTGCTAACTGCTAAGTTGTCTGACAAAAAAAGCAGAGTTTTTCAGTGCCTTAGTAGCCCTGGGATAGAAATGATGTGGGATGGGGGGGAGAGGCGGAAGGAATTGCTTCCCCCCATTTGGTGCATGGTTTGTAGCGAGCATGCTCAGTAACACCTCTGAAGCTGCGGTCCTCAGTCTGCCTTCCATGCTCTCACTCTTCTCCCCCATCACAGCATGCCCAGGTCGCCCTCCCCATCAAAATCTGAAATGGTGTCCCTGCGGACTGGCAATACTCAATTTATTTACAGATCATCTAGAAGAGTGTAAATGTTGAGAGAATAAAATTTGTGGCTGACACAAAATTATTTAAATTAATCAAGACTAGGGAGGATTGTGTGCAATTTCAGGAGGACTTAACACAGTTAAGTAATTGAGCTACCTAATGTTAAATAGAATTCAGTATGGACAAGGGAAGTAATGCATATTAGAGGGAACTTTGCATGTTCAATTATTTGAATTGTTTGTTTTTGAATTGTTATCACAGGAAGAATCATTGAAAGCAGCTCACTGAAGAGGTGCAACGAAGGAAAAGATGTTAGCCCCATTAAGGAGAGCCAAATACAGAAAATATTATTATACCATCAAAACCAGATGGAAAGTCTTTTGAGTAACTCATTTATTTTTGCCCATTACATTAAAAAGACACATGGTAGGTACAATAGCAAAAATCCAAAAATATCATTGCATAGGAGCTGAGAAGTATTCCATTCAAGGAGAGCAGATACAAATACAACAGAGTTACATAAATGAACAGAAACAAAATACAGGACTATGTAGCACCTTAAAGACTAACAAGATGGTTTATTAGATGATGAGCTTTCGTGGGCCAGACCCACTTCCTCAGATCAAATAGTGGAAGAAAATAGTCACAACCATGTATATTGGTTAGTCTTTAAGGTGCTACATAGTCCTGTATTTTGTTTCAGCTACACCAGATTAACACGGCTACATTTCTATCACTATAAATGAACAGAACAGAGAGTGTCATTACAGTAGACCTATCTATTTATATAAAACAAAAATAGGAGGGTAGGATACTTGAGATAAGGAAATTTAAAATGCAACAAAGTAATAAATTTACCTGTTGAAACTACATTTTAACATATAACAGCTGTAGTATGTTATAAGAGAATATTACCAACTCTCAGAATTTGATCATTAGTCTGGCAATGCTTAGTGTTTTCCTTAAACCCTCAACTGCTAAAAGCAAGAAATTACATGAGCCATTTCAAAGAAGTGTCTAGCCCACGGTTGCAGAGTAACAGTTGAAAATAAGAATCAAATGCACCCTACAAGGTCAAACATCAGAATACAAAAATAACCCCCCAAAATTGTTTTTAAATCTCCTGATACCAAAGTAGATTATTGGTCTGTTGTTGTATGGTAATTTCTGTATTCCTAACTGAAATATTGTTCAAAGAGAACAAATGATATTTGGCATGTATATTTTAATGCACATTTTTCCATGCATGGCAGTTAAGGATTTTTTATTCAGCAATAAATGTTTCTACATTTCTACATCTGGCTAGGAAAGGTGGGGCAGAACCATAATTTCATCTTCTGTTTGTTCCTCCAAGTCCTTTTGTGGCATTTTGCACCCCAGGGAATAACACAGCCCCAGCTTTCCCTCAACTGACCACAGGGGCTGCAATTCTTCCTAGCTCTTATCCAGACTACTTGGATATTGGGCTCCTTCTTAACCTTCCCTTCCCTACCACCAATTATGCAACCATGTAAGTGCCAGGCAAAATCTGGCTCATGGTACATTTTATGATTACAGCATACTGGAGAATGTGTGTGGAGGAGGGAACAAAGAGATAAATATTAAAAGAGTTTACCAAGGCCTTAAAATAGATAAATATATTTTTTGTCAGAATACATAGGCGTGGGAAGCAGCCTACACAACAGGTGCTGCACATAGGCGTGTGCAGCACATTTCATTAGGGTGTGCACCCAGGGAATTTTTTTTAAAATTTTTTAAAGGTGAACATTTATTGAATACTCAATCATAAAGGACATTATTTTTATTCATCAAACAAACTAAAGAAACTAAAACTTAACTAAACTTAATTTTTTTTAAATTAACAACTAAACTTTACTTAAAAAATACAAACTTAAGTATGAGACATTGAACTTCTTAGTTTGTTTTTTACATGTGCAATTTGGTGCTTATTGTATAATACAGCAATCCATACTTTAAAATTAAAAGAGCGTATCATGTAATTAAATTAAAACTCAAAGGCACTTTTTTTTTGAGACATTATAGGGTTACCAGGTAGTCTTAAAAAAATACTGGACACATTTCATGGTGGGGGGAGGGACCAGATGGGAGGGGAGTGAGGCTGGCTGGGAGAAGGGGGGGGGCAGGAAGCAGAGCTG